TGCAGATGCAATTTAAACCAGCACAAAATAGTATACAATAAAAAGTATATATTAGGGCCAGGGAGATAGCTCAGTAGAATAAATGTTTGCCTGGCAGGCACAAGGGCCCGAGTTCAATCCCCGGTTCCACAAAAAAAAAAACAAAAAAACAAAAAAACAAAAAAAACTGTATTGTTTCTACCTCAGACATCCAACCCTACATCCCTTAATTAACCACTATCAGTAGATTTTCTACATGTAAGTAAACATGTGGGGAAAGTATATTATATTCGCATTTTAGAAAAAGAAATTCTATGGTAGATTGAAAGCAATTATTGAAAGGGAAAGAGACAAAAATCAGATAAGAGACTGGCAGTAATCTGGAAAGCAGGCAGCAAGTAATAGGAGCTTAAACTGGGCAGGGGCAATGAGAATTAAGAAGAAAATGTAAGTGTGGGAGAGACTTGGGGGTGAAGTCAGTAGGACAGTGTAGGGATTCAATGATCTTACTGTCAACAGTTCTACCCGGGGAGAGACACTGCGACAGGAATGAGAAAGATGGACAAGACAAAAGCTGGGCTAGGTGGTCACTAGTCGGCTTTATGGGCAAGACTAACTCAACGCACAACAAAATGATCTTTTATTTATACTTTTGCAAAGTCAGTAACATGTGACACAAAGTTACGTAATGACTAATAGCTGACCTGAACCAGACAGGATGTTTTTCTCAGGATGGAGGTAGCTTGTTTGCTTTAGGCACTGAGGCCTAGTCCCACCTACACACATTTGATCAATTTCCTAGCTCCCCAGCATCACTATTCCGATGAAGTTTTTGATAACACCCAGCTTTCTGGCCTCAGTAACTGTGGGGATGGTGGGTGGTATCATTCATGAGGACAAAGGCGGGCATAGGAGGAGAGAGATTTATGTGAGAAGAACCCTGCAGGTATATAGAGAAATTCAGGGCGACTCCACAGCTTACAGGAGAGAGAACATTATTGAGGTATGTAGGAACTAGATTGTGAAGGCCTTTGAGTAATGGGAAGGTGTTAGAACTACATTTCATTGACAGTGGGAGTTTCTTTCTTTCTTTTTGGCAGAAATGGGGATTGAACTCAGGCCCTTGAGCTTGCCAGGGAAATGCTTATTCCACTGAGCCATCTCCCCAGCCCCAACAGTGGGAGTTTCTTGAAGTCTTTGGAGCAGAAACAAAAAGATAGAAGGTGTGATATTTACAAAGCTGTGCTTTAGAAAGACAGAGGTAGTCTGAAGGTTAGACAGGAGTGGCCAATGTAGAGTCAACGACCATAAATTGATGATTTTAGTTTCAGTGTGCTTAAGTGCCTTGGAAGCATCCACCTGGAAAATTTGGTAGGCAGCTAAATGGAGACCTGGGTCTGAGATAAGATCTGAGTCACCCAGTGCCACCCAGTCACCACATAGTGAAAACCATGGGGCTGAATAGGATGGCTCATGGAAAGAATGTGGAATCCTGGGAAACATCAATGATTCAATGAGCAAAGAGAAGGAGCTTGTGGTGGAACTAGAGGACAGGCAAGCACAGTGTGGAAGGAAACCAAAACAGAACTGGTTCTTTAACAATGAAGGGGGGCCGGGGAGATGGTTCAGTGGAATAAGCACTTCCCTGGCACGCACAAGGGCCTGAGTTCAATCCCTGGTTCTGCAAAAACAAAACAAAAAACAATGAAGGGAAGGGAAAATCAAAGAAAGAGAAAACAGTCAAATGATTGCATGATTTGGGGCCCTGGGTTTGAAATCTTGCTTCACTACTTCCCAATAATAAAATGAAACAAATGATTAGAACTTTTCAAGCATTTGTATAAGAGGTTTAACAACAGTACTTATCTTACAGTGGAATGGTGAGAATTAAACTGAATAATTGTGTAAAGCTGTTACTATATCGTGCGGTACACCACAGAGTATCAATAAATGCTGACTAAAAGTCGTAACAAAAGTAAACACTGAAAAGTATTTATTCTCACTGAATGACCCTACTGGAGTAAATTCAGAGATGCCAGAAGATGTTACTGGAGTATCCTAGGCCAGAGCCCAATTTAGGAAATCCCAACAAATCAGGTCCAGCCACTTGCCTCAAAAACCGAAGAGGAAAAATAATAGTGAAAATTGCAAAAGGAACTTTAATCAGCATAGCTCTATTGGAGAGACAATAGAGATGAGGGCGACCCATGCTATGGACAGTGAAGCAGTCCAGGTCAAACTGCTGTCATTATCTGGTCATTATCTCAGAATGGGTCAGGCAGGGTCCTGGCCACTGTGAGAAGGAAGTTGGGAAGTTGAGCTCCTTGGGAAGGTAGCTCTGACTCACCACAGATGTTATCTGTCAGTCCTGTTGTTCCTGGAATCCGAGGTGACTCAGACCAGCACATAGATGCAAACTGGAGGTGGAGATGTTAGGTATTTTATCCCACTTTAAACTAAGAGGATCACTGAGAGTTCAAGGCCAGCCTAGGCTACAAAGTGAGTTCAAGACCAGCCTGAACTGCATAGTGGAACCCTGTCTCAAGACAATAAATGACTAAATAAATACCCCCTGGGAAATTTGTAGGGCCACATGAAGAATCTGTATTTTTAGCAGAAACTGCCTCTAAACAGGGTGTGGTGGTGTGTGATTATAATCCCAGAACTCTAGGAGCCTGAAGGAGGAGGATCACATGTGTAAGCCCAGCCTGTCTCAAAAATAAAAAATAAAAAAGAAGGCTGGGAGTGGTACTTTGGTAAGGACCTGGGTATAATCCCCTGTACTGAGAAAAGAAAAAGGAAGATGAAAAAGCAGCCTCAATCTTTATTACCAGGACATAAATTCAGATGAAACAGATTTAAAAGTATGTGAGAGGTGAAAAGAAGCCACAGACTCTAGCAACAAAGGTGAAAAATGTAGCATGTCAGAACAAGGGGATCGAGTGCTACGCTCCTCCAACACACTTTACTTTCTTTTTTCTTATAGTGGGGACTGAACCCAAAGAACACCAAGTTTCATTCCCACTTTTATCTTTATTTTTAGTCTAAGACAGAATTTTGCTAAATTGCCAGGCTGGCCTTGAACTTGCGATCCTTCTGCCTCAGCCTCCTGAGTAGCTGGGGTAACCGGCCTGTGCCATCACACACACCCAACCTTACACCCCTTTTCCTCACATGGATAAAGTCATGTATATTACTCAGCCATAGGAAATCACTAGAGGGCAAATTAAAGCTCTAACAGGCAGAAGGGATAAAAGATAAGGCAAAAAGGGACTGCTCTTAGATGCTTTCATTGACCCCACTCCTGTCTAAACCTGAGACTGCCTCCACCTTTCCAAAGCACAGCCTTACACATACCACACCCTCTACATTTTTGTTTCTGCTCCAAAGACTTCAAGAAAGTCCCACTGTCAATGAAACGCAATTCCAACACCTTCCCATTACTTGAAGGCCTCCATGATCTAGTTCCTACATACCTGGATAATGTTCTTTCTCCTGTAAGCTGTGGAGTCTCCCTGAATTTCTCTGCACACCTGCAGGGTTCTTCCTCACATAAATCTCTCTTCTCCTCTTTCCTGGCCACTAATCTCTGTCCTAATTTAAGGTCCAGGTTCAAGTCCCCTACCTTGCCTTTGTTGCTCAGAATTGCTTTTGCTATTCTCGGTCTCTTCTGGTTCCAAAGGAATTTTAGGATTGTTTTCAGGAGTTCTGTGAGGCATGCTATCCATGCGTTTCAGATTGCATTAAATCCATCTAACAGTTTTGGAAGTATGGCCGTGTTCTCTATGGGTTGCACTAATCATGCCTCAAAATTTTTCAGAGAAAGGGTGCAGTGTGGTGGTGCACAACTACAATCGTGTTCTGGAATTTCCAAGAAACTGGAGAGACCAGGAGGGATTTTTCAGGAGGACTTTAATGGTGTACTGTCTCAGCCACAAGAAATACTAAAAACTAGGCTGGACTCCAATCCAGGTGAGGTCCCCTTTTATACAATTTGTGATGTCAAGCAAGTAGAGATACAAAATGAAAAAAAAGGCAGTCACCCTAGAGCTAACCCTATCTATCTTAGCCTTGAAAGAGAACAAGTGCTGTGCATCTGGGGATGTTACGATGCATGAAGCTTGTTCATAGTCCCATTTGTTAGTTTTATCAGTGTCAGTACCCAGAATTGGCTCTCTAAGGGAGGAGAGTCCCATGAGAAAACTGCCTTAAGTGCAGCCCTTATCAGTGAGAAAGGCAAAGGACCCAGGGAAAAGCAAGTCTGCATTCCTGAAGGAGGGGTGGCCTGGAGAGTTGCTTGCCTGAGCTGGGAGGATTTTGCAGAGGGTAAGCCTAACTTTCTCTCAGTTCTGCTTTCATCCAGTTAGGAGACTGGCAGCAGGATCCAAGAATTGAAGACCAGGGCCAGAGAGCAAGGTCCTGAGTTCTATGCCTATTCAAAAAAAAAAAAAAAAAAAAAAAAAAAGTTAGCCAAGGCCAGCCTGGGCTACATAAGTTCAAGGCTAATCTGAATTACATACCAAGAACTCCCTGTTTCAAGAAAAACAAAAAACTAAAACAAATGAAAAAAAAACTTTAAAAAATTGTAAAAATCTTACAATAGTGCAAAGGAAATCTATAGTTCATTTTTACATCAAATTTATACAGGCCTTCAAAACATTTGGTAAACTGAACGCTTACCGCATGGTGGACAGTTCTTGCAGTATTCTCATTCACTTAGTTTGATTTAAAACAAAAAAAACTTTATCAAAGACATGTGAAGAGCCAACAGAACTTGCAGAAAGGGCAAATCCTCGCCAAGGAAGGGACCCAATAGCCAAGCGCTTCGCAGCCCACGTGTCTCCGTGACGCAGGGAAGCCATTTTAGGCATCGTCTCATAGAGGAAACTACATCTCCCAGAATTCCCCGCCCTCGGCGTCGTGCTGGCACTATTACTGGCCGGGCTTTAGAACCAAGCCTGTAGCCGGGCGCCATCTTTGACGCTGGCAGTCTTAGGTTTTTTTTGCTGCTGAGAGGACGGCAGACGGCAACGGCTAAGAAAGAAGAAAGACGTGGCAGCAGGCGGGAGTCGGAACTAGTGTCATCGGTTCGGTAAAGTTTCTGTTCTCTGGTAACTAGACCCGTTTTTTGATTGCTGGGTGGCTTGGGGGGCAGGGAGGTGGGGGAAAGGGCGAGGGGAGTGGCAGCGGCCTTCCCTCGCCCCTGGGTTGTGGCCTAGCCGGGGGAGTCAGAGCGGGGGTCTTTGAGCCTTGCGGTAACGATCCCCCTACCTCTCGGCCGATGCCCTCGCGGGCTTGAGTGGGAGCCCGGTTCCCGTTCCCTTCTGCCGTCCGCCCCACCCCCACGCTCTGCGCCCAACCCCCAAGGCGCCTGCTCCTTCCCGACCGGCCTTCTTCCCCTCCCCCACTTCCGGTGCTGAGGAACCCCAAGCCAGGGCAGCCCTGTAAACCAACTGTTCTTCGACCCCGACAGTCACTAGATGGCTCTCCGCGCGGCAGCTGTCTAGGTTAGCGGACCCACCTTACCTGAGTCAGCCGGAGTTCCAGAAGCCGAGTTTACCTGTTCATTGCCCGCTATGTGAGACCTTTTCTCAGACTCCACATAGAAAGCCACTGACCTTACTTCGCTGTCCCACACCCATTCCCCATCTCCCCTCGCCCCCCTCTTCAGAGTTAAGAGCTACAGGGACACTTCGTTCTCCTTGTAGGATTGGTGAACCCGTAATGAAGAGCACCCCCTAAACTCCCATAATCGGTGTGGATTCCTATGGGGAAGGTCCATATTGTTGACATCTTCCAGGCCTTGGTTCTGGACCTTGAGAAGGAGGCTGTGGAACTAGTAATAGCGATGCTTTGTAGGGTAAATATGTGTAGGTATGGAGGAGAGGGGAGGGATCAATGCAAAAGAAATGGAATTGGTGTCAAGGGCTTACTTAAGTTTTTGCTGTTCATATAGAGATCAACTTGTTAATTATTTACAAGCGTAAAACTTTAGTATAAAAAATGTTAACTTTTTAATAGAAACGGTTAATTGAAAATGTTGCTTGTTACCTTGTTTTAAAATTTAATTCCCAAATAATTTTTTCAGTCACTTACATTTTTCAAAATGTGCTGTTAGTATTAAAGAGGTCAATTAGAATTTAATGACCAGTATGTGGAGTCTGATTTAGCTTTCCAGAATTGACTAAAATTTTGGGTTGTATTGGCAAATCAGTGATGAATATTGAATGGTGCACTATGTTTTTGTTTAAATGAAATTTCCTGAAAATTTCAGAAGAAAATTGATGTTATCACGAGGCATCATAAAATACATATTTTAAGAACTGAAGGCATTTCAAGCAGGTGCAGTCCTTGATGAAGCAGGAAAAACGTGAACCTGAGATTTGAAAGCTCTGGCTTCAGCTGCTAATAACAAGCTCAACTCTATGACTGTGGGGAAGTGGGCCTTAGTTCTTTTTTCAGTAACATGAGAATGCTGGACTGTTCGCATTTAGAATTTAGAACATTGGAAGGGATTTTAAAACCCCCTAACAAAGAGTTTGGGGATGTTCTTCACTGCTGTCATTTTTCTTCCAAAAATAATCAGGCTTCGAAGTCATTGTTCCAAAGGGAATTTGACTCCCCCTAGAAATTGGGAAAAAGGTAATATAAATAGAAAGTAACAGCTGTATTTCTGCTTCAGTAACAAACCCATTGGCACATCCTGGTAGGAATTTTGGAGCCATAAGGAGAATGAGCGTATGTGCTTTAAGTGTACCAGTTTCCTCACTCTCTCCTGACAGAAGATGCAACACTTTCAGTGGTGCTGGGATTCTGGGATGCGTTTCCATTAATTCTAATTCAGATGAAGAGGATGTTGTAGAGGGAAAGATGGTGTCAGGAGTGGATAAAGAGGCAAAATTGCCTGCTAAAAAGAAAAGAAAGAAGGGTTTGCGGATTAAAGGGAAAAGGCGTCGAAAAAAATTGATTCTTGCCAAAAAGTTTAATAAGGATTTGGGATCTGGGAGGACTGTTGTGGATGCTCCTGCTTTGTTAACTTCCAGTGCCCCTGAGCAGGATGAAGAAAATCTTTTTGACAGCAATATAGAAAAACAGATCTATCTTCCTAGTACCAGAGCCAAGACCTCCATTGTGTGGCACTTCTTTCATGTTGACCCCCAGTACACGTGGAGAGCCATTTGTAATCTTTGTGAAAAAAGTGTCAGTAGGGGTAAACCAGGCAGCCATCTTGGTACATCTACTCTTCAGAGACATCTGCAGGCCAGACACTCACCTCACTGGACCAGGGCCAACAAGTTTGGAGTCACTAGTGGAGAAGAGGACTTTACTTTGGATGTATCTTTATCTCCCCCTTCCCCTGGCAGCAATGGAAGCTTTGAATATATTCCTACTGATTCTATAGATGATAGTAGAATGAGTAAGAAACGTCATAAATCAGCAACTGATGCTCTGAGGGCTGAAAGAGGGAGATTTCTCATCAAAAGTAACATTGTCAAGCATGCTTTAATACCTGGAACCAGAGCCAAGACTTCTGCAGTTTGGAATTTTTTTTACACTGACCCTCAGCACATCTCAAGAGCTGTGTGTAACATATGTAAAAGAAGTGTGAGCCGGGGTCGGCCAGGTTCCCACTTAGGAACTTCGACGCTACAAAGACACCTGCAGGCCACACATCCCATCCATTGGGCTGTTGCCAACAAAGACAGTGGTGCTATTGGAAATGGATTAGATGAGACTGAGACTGAGAATGGCGATCTCTTGAATGATACTTTACATGGAGAGAAGTCTACAGGCAGCCAAGATTTAACCGCTGAGGACCTTAGTGACTCTGATTCAGATGAATCTCCTTTATTAGAAGTTGAAAATAGATCAGAAAGTCCTGTGCCTGCTGTAGAACAAGACAATCATACAGATGCACAAGAGAGAGAAACAGCATTTTGTGAAAACTTGGCCTCTAATCAAATAAGCCAGGCAATTATTCAAATGATTGTAGAGGATATGCATCCTTACAACTACTTCTCAACCCCAGCTTTTCAGAGATTCCTGCAGATTGTGGCTCCTGACTATAGATTGCCATCAGAGACTTACTTTTTCACTAAGGCTGTACCTCAGTTATATGATTGTGTCAGAGAAAAAATTTTTCTAACTTTAGAGAATGTTCAAAGCCAAAAGATACACTTGACAGTTGATATATGGACCCATGACCCATCCACTGACTATTTCATTGTGACTGTACATTGGGTGTCTTTGGAAACTGCATCTTCTCCTAATAATAGCAGGAGCCCTGATTTTAGAAAGTGGGCAGTGCTTTGTGTTACAGGTTTGGCCAAAGACTGTTTGATAACAAACATTTTGCAAGAATTAAATGACCAGATTGGTCTGTGGCTTTCTCCTAATTTTCTTATCCCTAGCTTCATTGTTTCTGACAATTCTTCTAATGTGGTACACGCAATCAAAGATGGTGGTTTTACCCATGTGCCATGCTTCCTGCATTGTTTAAATATCGTCATTCAGGACTTCTTCTGTGAGCACAAGAGCATTGAGAATATGTTAGTGGCTGCTAGGAAAACATGTCATCATTTTAGTCACTCAGTCAAGGCTCGTCAAATACTACAAGAGTTCCAAAATGATCACCAGCTTCCATGGAAGAATTTGAAGCAGGATGAAACAGGTCATTGGGTTTCTACTTTTTATATGTTAAAATGGCTCTTGGAGCATTGCTACTCAGTTCATCATAGTCTTGGTAGAGCCAGTGGAGTTGTACTCACCTCCCTTCAGTGGACGCTAATGACTTATGTTTGTGATATTCTTAAGCCTTTTGAAGAGGCCACCCAGAAAGTAAGTGTAAAGACCATGGGATTGAATCAGGTGCTACCCCTAATCCATCATCTACTTCTTTCCCTTCAGAAACTCAGAGAAGATTTTCAAGTCAGAGGTATTACTCAAGCTCTCAATCTGGTGGACAGTTTATCTCTGAAACTTGAAACTGATACCCTACTAAGTGCCATGCTCAAATCTAAACCCTGTATCTTAGCTACTTTGTTAGATCCATGCTTTAAGAACAGCTTGGAAGACTTTTTCCCTCATGGTGCTGATTTAGATACATATAAACAGATCCTTGCAGAAGAGGTTTGCAGTTATATGGAATCTTCACCAGAGGCTTGTCAAATTGCAACTACAGAAGCCTCTGGTTCCTTAGTTACAATAGGAGCCGAATCATTTACCTCCTCTATAAAAGAAAGTACCTCCAATTCAGGTTCCATGGATAGCTCAGCTGCAGACACTGTTGCTACTAGAAGCAAAAGCTTCATGTTTCCTTCTGCTATAGCCGTGGTGGATGAGTACTTCAAAGAGAAATATTCAGAGCTCTCAGGAGGTAATGATCCTTTGGTTTACTGGCAGAAGAAGGTGAGCGTCTGGCCAGCGTTAACCCAAGTTGCCCTTCAGTATCTAAGTTGCCCCATGTGTAGTTGGCAGTCTGAATGTATCTTTACTACAAATAGCCACTTTCATCCAAAGCAAATCATGAGCTTGGACTTTGACAATATAGAACAATTGATGTTTCTGAAAATGAACTTGAAAAATGTTAACTATGATTATTCTACATTGGTTCTGAGCTGGGATCCTGAAAATAAGGTTGTTCAAAGCAGTGAAAAAGAAATATTACCTTAATTTCTTTTTCTTTTCTCTATTTAAAATGGGCAACTTTTTGCTGTGTTACTGTATTCTTATTGCTATAATCATTATATGTAATCGTACTAATTCTTTAAAAAAAAACTGGGTTTGACCTGGCAAGCAGAAGATCCTGAGTCCTGAATTTGATTCCTAGCACCAAAAAAAAAAAAGAAACAAAACTGGGTTTGATTTGGTGCCTACCTGTTTGGGACACTGAGGCAGGAGGATTGCTTGAGTCTACAAGTTTGAGCCTGGTCAGTATAGTGATACTTTGTATCAAAACCAAAATAAAACAAAAAACAAATCTAGGAAAACCTGAAAACACAAGGGCTAAAAATTCCTCAGAAGCAGTGTGTACTGTTTGATAGAATGAAGATTTGCTTTATTTAGTAAGTTACAATTGTTAACATTTGAAAATTTTGAAATCAGTTAAGAAAGCAAAGACATTTTTAGTTACAAAAAATATAGTGCAGCATTGAAAGGCATTAGGCCATTTTTGGCTGGTAGACTGAGCTAGTAATGGATGCTAGAATTTCCCCCAACATGGGAACTTTGATAACTCTGAAACCTGTAAATTAAAAAAAAAAAAAAAAGACTAATCTGGTGTTCCTTCCCTCTCTTCATTTTTCTTAAAAAACCCTAATGCTGGTCTACAACTTTGGAAAAAGGAAACCCACAAAATTGTTTTATATTTGGAAATTTCTATTTTGTCTCCTCATACTGGTCAGCTTTATAATTTCAAATTAGTCTGTGATAGAAATAACTTACATTTAGGATTGGTTCTTTATAAAAGTGGAATATTAGGAAACAATTAGGAAATACAGTCTTTGAATTGCCCTTTTAAACTTTGGTGATATATTTTAAAAACCACAAAAACTAGGAGCTTTTGCATAATTTATGGTTAATATAAGAAAAAGTTAACAAAATTCAAAAAGACTCAGTGGGAATTGGATCACAAACCCTATATGACTATTCTTTGATGTGCCCAGTGTGCATTTCCCAAAAAATATTTTTCTAATTTAAAAAATATACTTAATGATCCTACTTAGTGATCCAAAGTATTGTATTTTGAACTATGAAGTTATGGCCTATATAGTCTTAAAACAAGCAGTCAGTATTTTCATATGTTAGGAATCATTGGTGAAATGAGTGAAAAGATCTCAGTGATCCTTGTGATACCTTTCCACTCTGAAAGTATGTTTCTTGACTAGGAAGCCAGAATGACAACTTTTAGTAAACAACTATTTAAAGTTTCAAACTGAATAACTAATGTAAGATCCCAATTTTTCCTTTTTTTCATTTTAGATTTGGGGATATTCCCTGCCCAAAAAATTCCTGGAAAATTGACTAGTATTAAGTGTGAGTAAAAGGTGTCCACTTTTTTAAGTTTTCATTTTAGTTTTGTCTAGTATTTGGGAAGATTTAGCCTAGAAATTATGTAGTATTCATTACACGAGAATCAAACTTGCTTTGGTACTGCGCTGGCTTCAAAACTTTAGAAAACTTGTTTCTGTGTATCAAAATACTTTTTTTTTTCTTTTTTAAAATTCTTGAATGGTAAATGTACCATTGTGAAATGAAATTTCAGCTCCAAATGTTTACCATTTTATTAACTGGGGTATGTGGATAATTAGTCTTTAGCTGTCACCATCAATAATAAAGAATTTGATGTAGGTTGTATAAGCACCAGTGTTAATGCCGTGCCAGTGATGCTGTTGATTTAAAAGAAGGAAAAAAAAAAAAGTAGAAGCTTTCTGTGTTCTGACAGTACCAGTTCAGAATGGCTGTAATGCTGCTCTGCCTTCTACAGCTTGCCACACCACTCTGTAGTTACTCTGTAACTGTACATTTCTATCTGTTTTGGTTGAACACTCCCTGATAATGATGATGTTATACATAGGTCCATATTATACACAGTGAAATATGGGTAAGGGATTTCCCTTCATGCTATTTTGTGGGCTGGGCAAATTGTAATGTCAACTTTACAGTTCCCTGGTATTTTAGTAATGAACCCAAATTTAAAGACTTACACTGTATTTTAAAGGGGAAACTTACTCAGATGTTTTACTTCTACACATTTGTGTGTATGTGTGTGTGTGCGTGCGTGTGTATAAGCCAGTTACTATATATGTATATTATATACATAAAACACTATATTTTTGCATACAAGTATGCTTTTATTATACACATAATAAAGATGGGGGAAGGTTTCTGTTTTCTTCTTAATAGGTGAAGAAATCTCGAAGACCAGAAATTGGATCTTATTGAATTTTGTTTTTTTGTGTGGTTTTTTTTTGTTGTTGTTGTTTTTTGCTTTTTGTTTTTAAATTGTTCGACTATGGAAGATGGATTTTTTTTTTTTTTTAATGATTCTCTGAATCTCAAGTTCATCTTTAAATGAACTTTTTTGGTTTTTGTTTTTGAGGAGATAACTAATGGTAGCTGTCTCCAGTCTGACAAAGGTTATTCAAATGGACTTAATCTTCCAGTAGTTGGGAGATGTTTTAAAAACACATCCTGTGTTTCAATTGTGGCTGAGAGGTTTCCTTGGCAATGTGAGGAAGAAAATTTTTTCTGCCTCATTATTATTAATTCATGGATTGAGTGTTGGTTCGACCTACAGGCGTAATAGATTGGAACTCAGTGAAGACACAGACGTTCCTGTTGAGAACAACCAGCTAATGTAAGTATGGAAAAGGGTCCTTTTCTCATTAAAAGAGTAAGCTATTTTTGTGTGTTTTTTTGTTTTGTTTTGTTTTGTTTTGTTTTGTTTTGTTTTTTTGCTCCGAATGCCTTCAGGGCAGGTTTGGCTGGCTTGAGTTGTGGGGATGGAACCACAGCAACCTGAGCCTGACTGCTTTGTTGAAGCAGCTACTTAAAGAACTGAGCTAAGGGGTAGGCCCCCTATTTTTGTAATCTAATAATTTTCCTGTACTAGTAAAAGATCAAAAAGCCATTATCCAAAATTTTATTCTTACAGTAGTTTACAAGCTCTTAGGTTTTGGATGGAAATATCACTTTTTGTTACCTTTTTTGGGGTAATTATGCACAAAGTAAAACTAATACAACCAAGTTGAAATCCTCTTATAATTCCATGTTCTTGGAGAGTGGTGCTGTTATGGTTTATTAAACATAGTTCTTTGTACACTTCTTTTCCTTATCTTTTTAATGACTGTGTAATGTTTTATTGTATGGGTATGTCAGGATTTGTTTTATACACACACACACACATATATATATATATATATATACATACTATGTATTTAGTACAGGGTCTCACTACACAGATTGGACTTGTGATCCTGTTTTCAGCCTCTCAAGCACTGGGATTACAGGCATGCGCCACCACACCCAGTCTCAGTTGCAGGCTGGGGGTGAGGGATCAGTGCACAGCACAGCATGCCAGGGGTTGGCTGCTGCACTCTAATTAGGCACTTTAATCCACTGAGCTATCTGGCTAGCCCTATGCCAGGATTTAATGAATCACTCACCGATAGGCAGTTTGAATTTTTACCACTTGAACAAAAGTAGCTCTAATGTAGTAATAGCCTTGTGTACATATCTGTGTAAACTCTTTCCAGGTTTTGGATGCAAATTTGTAGTTTTTTAAATACTCTTTAAAAAAGTTCCTAACAATTTACTGAAAAGCTCTTGATGTGAATGTGTCCCTTTTAGTAAAGACACTATTCTCTGGCCACATGCTCATTGGTCTTTTTAATTTTTGTCAGTTTCATTATGGTTTTTAACTTTGCTATCCTATAAAATGTTTTTTTTTTTAATTCAGAGTTATAAAAATACCATTTTTATTATATGGCTTGCCTTTTTGCATAGCACTGTTAATGAATTGAGAATTGTAGTATAGGGCTATAAGTAGTGAGCTACCACTGCTTTACAGTCTCTGTTTTTGTTCTTTAGGAACTTTTGGATATGAAGTAGATTTTTTTTTTTAAGGAACTGACCATTTGTGTTAATTTCAAATGCTATTTTTTTCATGAATCATACTTATGAGTTCTTTTGTTTGTTGACCCATGTATTAATTTGTCAGTATTACATTTAAACATTATTATATTTACGATCCATAATAATCAGGTACAGCAAGGCTCTTCCATTCCTTTTTTTTTTTTTTTTAATTAATTTATTTATTTAGTGTGTGTGTGTGTGTGTGTGTGTGGCCAGCTCAGCACACCAGGGGGCGGGGCTGGCTGGCATGTGGTGCTGGGGATTGAACCCAGGTCGCTGCGTTTTTGCTTAGCTTGTTCTAAGTAGGTGCTTTAGACCACTGAGCCATCTCACCAGCCCCTCTTCCATTCCTTTTTAAGTATTTTTTCAAACTTATTTTTCATTTTACAGTCTGGCAAGTTTCAGTAAAAAAAAAAAAAAAAAAAAACTTGCTAAATTTTGACTTGAATTGTATTATATGTATGTATTATTCCTGGGAGGAGTAGCTTGTTTATCCTGTACTCCGTTTTTCCATTATCCAGGTATTCAGTGCCTTGTTTCTTTTTTTTTAATGAGCAAAATATATTTATTGAGAGAAAGAAAGCTCCTGTCCCGAGAGAGAGGGACAGGAGGGGGGCCTGAGAGGGTAGTTCCCCCGGGTAAGTTGTCTCTTCCAGGGGACTTTTATAGAGGAAAACCATGTGGTGAGGCGGGTCTAAGGTGGTGGAAAAGACATGGGAGCTTGCTTAGTTGGGCATGAGGTGGGACAAAACTATGGTCAACCAATGAGATTACAAGCACCATTCCTCAGGTAAAATTGATTAAATCCAGTAACAAATGGGAAAGCGAATCACATAGCAAGCAGGCACGAGTATGGAACAGGGTCTCTTCCTGTTGGGAGTTGGGCTAGTGACTCATTTGGGCTCTTTCAAGTTGATTGATACTATTTAGGATATCAATCCCTAATGCCCATCCCTAGGGAAGTATGTAGCTGTGCTTCCTCTTTTTGTCTTGGTCTTGAGGTGTGGCCCATATGGCCCATATGGTCTATATGGTCTGTCTCTTCCAAGTTGCAAAGTCACCTTGTCTTCCATCTTGTCTCCTTGAGGGCCTGGCCCTGTCTAACTGCCTATAATATTTCTGTCTAACTTGGCTGCCTGCAGCATTCCCCCCTCTGAAAAAATAACCTGACCTGCTGTGAGTGAACTATGGGTGATGACTGTTCTGGCTTCTTCAAGCTGAAATGGGTCGTAGTTGTTGACCGGCAGTCAGATATATTCTTCAGAGGTTCTATCTAAAGGCCCTCAGTAGACACTAGGCATTTTCATTTCAGCTTTGAATCTCCATCCAATGATCTTGGTGGGACCTCTAAAATGATACAGGGAGAAAGACTGGTCTCGGGTGGGTGACCTCCAAACCATACAGGGAACCTCCAAATGACATAGGGAAAAACGATCTCTGGACCTGACCTGCATGAGTTTGTGTTCTCTGAAACCGAAGAATGAATTTTAGGAACAAACGGAGGTTATGAGCAGAATATATTTATTGAGAGAAAGAAAGCTCCTGTCCCAAGAGAGGGACAGGAGAGGGGGGCCCAAGCGGGTAGTTCCCCCACCCCCCTCAGTGCCTTGTTTCACAGTTGTTGTGTCTTCCTTTTAATACAATGTGGCTCTTGCATACTTTATTTTCTTATTATGTATAATTTTATTATGAATGGGACTCTTATGTGAATTATTTCTGGCATAGAGCAGAATTGCTGACTTTGTGTATCTTACATTTTTATTCAAATTTTTAAATTTTTTTTTTATTTTTAAGGAAGGCTCTAGAGGGTGTTCAGGGGCTCACTACTAGATCAGACTCATAGTGATCCATCTATGTACAGCCTCCCAAGAGTTGGGATTATAGGTGCGCTCCACCACGCCCAGTCCTTTTTTTTAAATGTTTATTTATTTTTAATAATTTTATTGAGAAACAAATAGCAGTGAGACAGTTTCAAAATCAATTAGTGGGACAGTTTCAATAATTAATACATTGCATATTGTTGTCTTCTTAATGGTTATTCATAGTACAAGATGCAGACATGATTTCCTGTCCACAAACACTATTAGTACAAATCTTACTATTCATTGAATTAAGAGAAAGTAGCTGTATATCTATCCTATTTTGAATATACAAATATAAAATGGTTCTTCATTTGTATCTCCTTTTTTTGTTTAGTTTAGTCACAAATGAGTATTCCATTGTCATTTAAATATTGTAGGTGTGTGAATTCAGCAAAATATTGCAATATAGTCCAGTAGTCCATAATAGTGGTAGGTTATCCATAGGACTGGCTAGGTCAGAAGTTGTGTTTTTGTTTTTGTTTTTTTTTTTGTGGAACGGGGGATTGAACTCAGGGCCTTGTGCTTGCCAGGGAAGCACTTATTCCACTGAGCCATCTCTCTGGCCCCTTGTCAGAAGTTGTTGACTTGAGCCTTTTACAGCTCAGCCTATTAATAATTAGGCTTTACTTTTTATACTTTCTGATGGATGGTTAAGGCCAAGATAAAGCAAGACCTATATTACAAAAATGTAACTTTTGTATCTGACAAGGTCAGTCTGATTCCCTCAGGATTTTTGCTGAAACCCTGTACCGCAGTTTGGAGATCCTTTTGTCAGTGTCAGCCATGGTGATGAGTCACGGCCATTGCCTGACCAATTTGTGCTCTGTGAAAGCCTGAGAGAATTTTTTCTCCTTGTGACTTTCTTTAGGCACACCTTACATTATTGATCACTTTACTCTGTAGCCCCATAATCTCCCTGATCAGAAAATTTGGGATACCACTGAGTTATGGGATGTTACAGTACAGGTTCTCCTATGTCCTGAGTCCTCACTGACCTTGAAAAGCTAGCATGCTCAGTCTCAACTGCCTTTTCAGCGCACCCAAGGGTGGGGCTGGCACAGCAGGCCCAGGGATTGAACCCTGTGCAGCTGTGCCTGCTTGCAGACTCTTTCATCCACTGAGCTATTTGGCCGGCCCTCAAAAAAAATTTTTTTTCCTGTTAAATGTGTTTGTCTACCAACACATAATTTTCAGATAGATTTTTTTGTCTCATCCATTTTTTTTTGTTAATGTTTTTGTTGTTGTTGTTACTGTGTGTATTAAACCAATGTGGGACTCTTCAGAGACTTGTACAAACTGAGAGTCATTTGTTCTAAGTGAGGTCTCCAGTAGTGTTGTAATCATGCTTCATTACTTAGGGTTTCTGATGCTTAGGAAGTTCTCTACTATTTACTGAATTTCTCTTTTTTCCTTTTTGTGATGCTGTGGGCATTGAACCTAGGGCTTCATGCATGCTAGGCAGCCGTTCCAACTCTAAGCTACATCCCTACCCCACACACTCTTTAATCTGTGTGTGTGTGTGTGTGTGTGCGCGCACTCGCGTGCGTTTGTGTGTGTGCGTGCATGCGAGCGCTAGGGGGATAAGTCTTGGTAAAGCATCCAGGCCAGCCTTGAAACTTAAGTTTCTGAAGAGTGGATGTTGCATTTTATTCTTGGACATTATACTTTTTAAAAAAATATTATTTTTAACTTTTTTTTCTTTCTGAAATCTTGCTTAGATGACATGGTTTTTAAACAGTCTATTAATGTAATGAAATTCCTAACATTAAAACCATTATTAGTCCTGAAATAAACATGGTTAGTCATGTAATATTACTTTTAGTATACATCTTGTTTAGTTAGCTAATGCCTTGTTTAAGATTTCAAGTCTAAAATCTTCTGGTTCTGAGCTCTCTGTGAAATACAGCTTGAAAGGCTAAATCTAAGGTCATAATCTCTTTTAAATTTCATCTTCTGGTATTTAAAGTTTCAGATGAGAAGCATAATGATAAAGTCTTCCCTTTAACAGTCTACTTTTTCATGTAAGCTCATATGATTCTTTTTTTTTTTTTTGGCGGAACCGGGGATTGAACTCAGATCCTTGTATTTGCCAGTCAAGCGCTTATCCTACTGAGCCATCTCCCCTGCCCCGATTCTGTCTTTATATTGGAATTCAGAAATGTTTATATGTATACTAGGAACATCTTTACAATGAAGTTCTGTCTTTTGATGAGCCTTTTTAAAGACTCAAGCCCATTTAATGTAGAGAATTTTTTTGGTATTTTTATTATCTTTATCCCATCTCTTCAGAATTTCTATGGACTAGAAATTTTATTTCTGGTTACTTCCATGTCATACATTTTCTCTCATTTTGACATGTCTTTTTTTGTTTTTGTACTGGGAGTTTTCTCCCAATGGTCTCTTGTAATCCAGTGTGTTTTTCATTGATTTTATTCTGTTATTTGTTCCCTTTATTAATGATTAAGAGCAGAGGCTAGAAATTTGGGTTTTCTTACAGTTCAAGATTTTTTTTTCCATTTATTTCCATAGTATTCATTTGTATCATTGCTATATCTTTGAAAATTTGTTGAGAGCATAAGATGTTAAAAGATTTCTCCTTGATTTCTGTATTAACTTGGAGAGCTTAAGAGAGGGCTAATTATTATTTAGAAATTTTTTAAAAGATTTATTCATTTGTGTATTTGCACATAATTGCCCCAACATTCTAATTCATGCTTTTTTTAAAAAAAAAATAATGTTTGCTATGCATAATTCAATGTAGGGAATTAATTGGTAGTACACATATGCATCTTGATCCTTTTTATTTTATACTATTTTGTTGCCATATCATAGTTTCCATTTTGTTTGATTAATCTGTGAGCTGTTTCTTGAACCTAGTAGTAATAGTGTAATTAATTTAAGTTTTTTGAGATTCGGTTTCAGGAGATTGAACTTCTAAGCCCCTTTTCTTCCTTGTAAAAATTTTTTGCTGTTTAATTTTGTTATTCTTCAGCTTAATGTTTTTCTCTTGCATATGTCTCATAGTTATTTGAGTATTCCATAAAAATTTGACTCCATTTCAGACAATTTTTAAAAATATTATTTGTTTTATGGTTTTGTACCCAAGGCTTTTGCATTGAGGTACATCAGCAGCCTTTTTAAAGGTTTTTATTTTTTATTTTTAGACAAGGTCTCATTGAATTGGTCAGACTTCCTGCCTCAGTCTCCTGAGCTCTTGGAATTATAAGTGTGTATCAGCACCCTCCTGAGGCACTTCTCTTTGTTTATTGATCGATTGGATACAGGGCCTCAGTGATCCTCTTGTCTCAGCTTCCCATTACAGGCGTGTACCACCATGCCCAGTTTCAGGACCAGTGTGGCATGAGGTACCAGGAATTGAACTGTCTCGGGTCTTTGTACTTGCCTGGCAGGTACCTAGACCACTGAGTTATTTCCCCAGTGCTTGGGGCAGTTTTTAAATTATTCTTGAACCTATATAGTGATGAATGCCTATAATCTTTGTTTTTAACATGTTATTTTAACAAGCAAGGGGAAACCAGGCTATTGCACCTTTTGCTGAGAAATCTCAGATAAATATCCATGTTCTTTGCTTACAAGTTTTCTTACCCAACAGAACAAAACACCCCTAAATTTCCTGTCACTTCATAACAAGAATCATTTTCATCTCAAGATTTAAGTAACATTTTTGACAGATTTCACCAGAAGCACCTTAAACACTTAAACAAAATATTAGGTGTAGCAGCAGTATCTTGAAGGGGTTTTTCTGTCAAGCACTTTGAATTCTTCTAGCCTCTCCTCATGACTTTAGTCCAAAGCTATGTCCATACTTTAGTTTTTTAATTTTAGTTTTGTGTTTTTACAGCAGCATTCACTTTTGTGTACCAAACTTTATATAGCTAAGTATTATCATACTATATAGATGTATAATATAGATGTATCACAACTTTTTTGAAAATTAGCCTCCAATGTTTTGGAAATTGAAGTTTCTGCTTATTATTTCTTCATTAGAAGTAAGATAGTGATGAGTGTTCTTGTGCATTATTACCTTGAGTATTTGTTGAATATTTTTTCTTTAGGACATTGTAGAAACTGGACTCATTGGATCAAAGGATATATAAATTTCAAGACTTTTGATACTTTGGTAACTTGAGGGCAGGTTTTCAGTGTGGCATACTCTTCTTGATAAGGACTTTACAGTGTAAGTTAAATACGCTTGAATTTAGTTTGATGTCAAGTAGTAGGTCAATATTTATGAAACGTGGTCTAGTATTTATGAAACCTGGTCTACTGGTGTGTGAGTTTGTAGAAAGTGCCTTCATAGTCTCTTACATGCTCTAAGTGTTTTGCTTTTGTAGAGGCTTTATTGGATATTCTAGTATAATGACTGTGGTATGGCAAGAGCAAGGAGATACACTGTTGTTTTGTTCAATCACTGTGTATGGGAATTGCCCTGAAGCTTTTCGTTTGCTGCTTGTTTATAATTGTGCATTTTTTTTAGCCACCTTCAGCATATAAGATAGTGCCACAGAGGTTTTCAGTTTCACAAGTTATTCTAGCCAAATAAGGTTTTTCCTAGCTAGTCATTACATACTAAGCAGAAACAACACAGATGTTTAAAACTTTTTTGTTCAGGTGTAAATACCTAATTTGTCAGAAATGTAGATTTGGCAAGTATTTTGTGTCAGATAATCCCAATTTTATTGAAAATGTAGATTCATGTGTTTTAACAGTGCTTATTTAAATGTTATGCTGAGAGAAAAATAAATAAATTTTATGCTGAGGATTGGCGAAATAGCTCAGCAGACTAAGCGCCTGCTTAGGCAAGTGCAGGGACTGGGGTTCCATCTCTGACACCACATGCTACTCCAGCCCTTCCCCCAGGTGCACTGAGCCAGCAACTGAGAATGGGCATGGTGGCATACGTCTGTAATCCTAGCGCTGGGGAGGCTGAAAATAGGAGGATCACTATGAGTCCCAGCTGTGTAGTGAGACCTGTCCCAAATACATACATACATAAATTTTATGCTGAAACAGTATCAAACACCAGAGTAATACAAAAAGAAAAGACCATGACTGTCCTTAACAAATTTACATTATAAATGAGAGCATACAATCACTGTGTTTATGAGGGTGTTTATGGGGAAGTGTATGTTAAGGTAGTTAAATATGCATTTTGATACTGTAATCTTACCAGCTTGATTGGCAGTTGGAAGAATTTAACTGAAATACTGTAATATATTGTCTCATTTTAGGATTGCATTTTAAAGACGATTTCTGTGCTTGAGTTGTCATTTGGAAGATTGGAAGATTAAGCCCATTTCAAGAGGACTTGGAAGTGGTCCTCATCTCAGAAGCAGTGGCTTATTTCAGAAAGCCACCTCTGATCTGAGAATTCACTCAGCATGTCTAATCAAGGAGAAGACTGCTATTTTTTTTTCTATTCTACATGTACCAAAGTAAGAACTATAGCTCCCAAATCAGGTCTTTCTGTAGTTTCTTTAATAAAACCTGTGGAGTTTTCTTTAAGTAATCGTTTTTATGTTTTGCTTTAGTTGTTTATTGTCTGCTGTTAGGTTTTTTTGTAAAAAGTAATATGTTTAGAATTCATTGTTCATTTTTTTGTTTTGTTTTGCTTTTTTGCTATGTAGTTCAGGGTTGTCCTGAACTCACTGTGTAGCCCAGGTTGGCCTTGAACTTACACCAGTGCTGGGTGTGGTGACAATCCTAGCACTGGGGAAGCTGAGCCAGGAGAATCACCACAGCTAAACTGCAAGTGAAACCCTGCCTCAAAAAGGCCTCACACCAATCCTCCTGCCTTTGCCTTCTGCGTGCTGGGATTACAGGTGTGCACCACCACACCTAGCCTGTCTTCGTAATTTTTCCATGTTCTACAAAAAGTAAAAAGCTTTTTGTGGTATACCCGCCACAAGCTTGCAAGTTGGAGTCCAGTCTGTACAACTTGGCAACTCAAAAGTTTCTTGTATCAAACTACAGAATTTAACATGGCTATGGCTATTGTTCAGTGCAGAGTAACCCCAAAAGAAAAGGCCCATGGCACATAGTCTTCAGTTAATGTTCTCATCTGTTTAGTACAGTTATAGTGCTTTGAAATTGGAAATACTTTGACTTAGAGCTTGCTGATTATTTTACAAACCTTTTATTAAATGAGTGCCAGAATTATGTGATACTTCTTAACATTATAAGGTTAAATATCACCTCTTTTCCCAGATTTACATTGCTAAAGGTACAAAGTCCTTGTTTTAATGTATTTGATACAGGGTCTTACTGCACAGCTTGGACTCTAGAACTCTAGTGATCCTTCTGTTTCAGCTGGGATTATAGGCGTGCAACACCACACCCAATCTCAGTTGCAGCTCAGCAGGGCTGGGGCAGGGCATGTGGTGCCAGGGACTACCTTCCAACTCCCATGCCCCCTTGCCTAAGCAGGCGCTTAGTCGGCTGCGAAGCTCTTTTTTTTTTTTTATTTTTTTAAGCTTTTCTACTTTATCTTTGTCAACATTTTTTGATTTTCTACTTGATTCTCTACAGCTCCATTTTAGTATGTTTGCTATATTTTGTTGTGAGGGTTGTGTAAATTTTTTTTTTTCTTTTTTTTTGCAGTACTGGAGATTGAACTTGGGACTTTTGTTGTTGGTTTTTAATTTTTTTTTTTTTTTTAATTTTTAGGAAGGGATCTACAGGGTGTTCAGGATCTCACTACTAGAATCGGACTTGTAGTGATCTGCTTGTTTACAGCCTCCCAAGAGCTGAGATTACAGGCACGTGCCACCACGCCCAATCTCAATTGCCTCTCAGGGCTGGGAAGGGGCGGCACAGCACAAACTTGGGAACTTGTGCTTGCCAGGCAGGCACTTATGCCACTGAGCTATCGCCCCAGCCCAGGATTGTGTAAATTTGTATATTACAGTAATTTCATTTATCATATTAATGCTTTGTTTAAAATTGGAAGTTTTACAGCTAATTTGAAGACATTATGAATATACCAACTATTATTAAGTTCCTGTTTTGTTGAGTGAAATTCTGTATCATTTCTTTTTTTTTTTTTGTATCATTTCTAATTTTTTTTTTTTTTTTTTTTCATGAAGCTGGGGATTGAACTCAGGCCCTTGCGCTTGCCAGGCAAGCACTTTTTCTTTTTTTTCCCCATAATTTTATTGATAAACAAATAGTAATGAGACAGTTTCAAATCAAACTGGTAGGACAGTTTCAATAATTCACACATTGCATACATTCTTCCTAGTGGTGCAAGCGCTTTTTCAACTGAGCTATTTCCCCGGCCCCTTTAATGATTTTTTTTTAACTTTTTATTTTTAAAAATTAAAAATAAGATTGTAAGCAGTTTTCACAATAGTGTTTTCAGATAAAATATACAAGGAACCATAATTATATATTAACACATAATATATGTTATTATTAATTAAAGCCTTATGTTATCTTTTTTCTGAATTTTCCCAAAGCCTAGGGTTATACAGGGCAGGATATGTGAAACAATTTTGCTGTAGTATTGTTTTTTAGGGAGTATCTAATATTACTACTTTTTTTTTCCCAACCCATCTGTCAACATAAGTTGCTGTTTCTGTTTTTGTTTTCTGTATTTAGGCCAGGGTCTACAGGGCCTATGGAGTCTCACTATGTAGATTGGACTTGTAGTGATTCTCCTGTTTTCAGCCTCCCACCTGCTGGGATTACAGGCACCACCATACCCAGTCTCCATTGCGATTTCAGCATGCCCTGCGGGCAGGGCCAGCATGGCATGCCTGTGATCAAACCACGGCCACTGAGCTCTGCCTAAGCAGGCGCTTCAGTCTGCTGAGCTATCAGGCCGGCCCAGGTCGTTCATATTTACAGATCAGATAATCTGTGAAGAAATAGGTTATAGGAAATTATACGTTTATTGCCCTTAGATTATTTTTGTTGTTATCTATTCTTAAATTATGTTTGTTTAGATTCCAGTAAATTTTTGTTGTGGATAGTTTATGTGGACTGTATTTCAGTGCTACATTCCTTTTCTAACAGGGCGATAGTTGCCCATTCCGTCACTGTGAAGCTGCACTAGGAAATGAAACTGTTTGCACATTATGGCAAGAAGGACGCTGTTTTCGACAGGTGTGCAGATTTCGGCACATGGAGATTGATGTAAGTTTTCAGTGCCACCATTAAATTTTTTGCTGGGTAGAAGAACTGTATACTTTCCTTTGTTTCATTTTTCCATATTGAGGATTGAACCTAGGCCCTGTACCTTGCTAATATAGTGCTCTACCACTGAGATACCCCACTTGTAGCCATTTTGGGTCTTGCTAAGTTAGCCAGACTAGCCTGGAACTTAGGGTCCTCATACTTAAGGCTCCTGACGAGCTGGCGTTTCTGGTATGCACCATCATGCCCATCTCACGACAGCGAAACTTTTAAAGGGGAAGCTGATTTATTGAAGTGGAAACATCAGACTATAGTGTCAAGTAAAAGATGTAAGTAAGTGTGGAACAAAGTGTGTAAACTAGGAGAGAAAACTTATGTTTTTGTTTGAATGCGTATTTTTAAAATCTGGATGTATAAAGGAAAACTTTAGTAGTGACTGTAGGAAAGGGACAGAAAGGACCTCTACCTTTTCTGTAGTTTATTTTTGTTATCTGTGGTACAGGTTCTGTGTTTGCCATTTTGCCTACTTGCTAATATAGCACTTAGTTTATAACTTCCAGATCACTAGTTGAGTGCTTCGTTCTTTGAAGGATGTGATCAAAGCACAAAAAAATTGAATCACCAGATAGGTTGATTTCCAGTTGAGGTATGACAGCTTGATTTGCTTCTCATACTATAGTCAGGTATTCTTTTCATAGGCTATTTGGTTCCATGATTTTTTCAAATGTTGCAATTTGGTTGGTCATTCTACTGTTTAAAGTGATCCTAGAACATACACTGAAGTGCAGTAGATATTGTTTGTAAATACATCTGTGCTTTACAGAGAAGGTATGAATGTTAGGCAGGCTTTGTTCAGCCGTGAGCTCAGTGCTGTTGGTCATGAAACTTTGTGTTAACAAATGAGCAATAAGATGACTAGAGCAAACACCTAAAGCAAACGTTGATTAGTCAGTGCAGATGTGAACAGAAGCTCACAAAAGTTCAACCAGATTAAACCCTAGAACTCATAACAGTGTTTCACACAAGTCCAGCTGGAGCCTAGAGCTAGAGCCCACAACAAAGTCTCATGAAGGCCGCTTCGTGGATCTGTGCTGGAAAGGCCAGAAGATAGTGGTGGAAGCTAGAAGTTTTATGCCAGTGGGATGAAGTTTCTGTGCTAGCAGGCTGAGGGATTTGAACTGGAGCTAGAAAGCAGCGCTCAAGGGAAGCACTAGAGCTCCCCCAAAAGAAGTACAGCCATCCTCACAACAGTGAGGTCCCGAGTTCCCCCAGCAATTAGGAAAGCTGAGCTCCCATCAGGAAAGCCAGTGTGACAGCCTTCTCCGTGAAGCCAGCAGTGCACTGTCTTACCCTCTGGAGCTAGGAAGTGATGCTCAAGATGAGGACCAGAGCTCCTCCAGAGTTCACTGGGAAAGCCAGCATAACAAGGCCCTCCAGCAGAACAGCCCAAGAGAACTAGCAGCTTCCAACAGCTTCTCCAAACAGCATCCCTAACAGCATTCCCACAGCTTCTCCTGTTCTACCTTTATGCTGCTGGCAACAATCCTCAGGTGGGCCTCCTATACCTAGTACCATGCTAGTTCAATTCATTTCAGTGTAAGAAGTTGACTGCCAGTTAGCTAGCTACTAAAGGGGTGGGGGACATGAAGAATTGAATGCAGAGCCTTGTGCTTGCCAGGCAGGCACTGTGCCACTGAGCTATATCCCTGGCCCCAAAAATAATTTTTTTAATTAGAAACAAAAGCTGAGCATAGTGACATGGTGGCAATGAATTTTTATTGTTTGCACATAAAGAAGTTTTAAAAATCAGACCCCCACATTCAAAGACCCTATCAAAAAATGGGCATTTGAGATGAATATACACTTCAAAAATAAAGAAGTACAAGTGTCAAATAAATATATGAAAAAATGTTCAACATCATTGGTCATTCAAGGGATGCAAATTAAAATAACACTGAGATCCCATCTGATGCCAGAAAGAATGGCTATCATCAAGGAGTCAACCTGTAACAAATGCTGGTGAGGAGGTGGTTAAAAAGGAACTCTACTCCACTGTTGATGGGAGTGCAGACTGGTGCAACCACTGTAGAAGTCAGTGTGGAGATTCTGCAAAAAGCTAGAAGTCCCATTTGCCCCAGCTATTCCCCTCCTGGGTGTTTTTCCAGATGAACTAAAAACAACACAGTGATTTATGTGGGCCTGTGCTTATAGTAGCACAGTTTGTCATAGCTTAATCTTGGAAACAACCCAAATGCCTATTAACTGAGGAATGGATAAAAAAGATGTGGTGTTTTTACACAATAGAGTATTACTCAGTTATATTTTTGTGAGTTGTTTCTGTTTTTGATGGTGGTGGTGCTGCTGGGGATCAAATCCAGAGTCTTGTGCATACAAGGCAAGAGCTCTACCACTGAGCCACATCTCTTGCCCATTACTCAGCTATAAAAATAAACTTGAGGCTTTTTAGAAATAAATGAGACCTGCATGTGCAAACATCATATTGTCTCAGTGTAAGAACTTGAGGGTGAATAAAATCTGAAAGGTACAATAGATACTGTGAAAAAAAAAGGGGGGGGGGCTGGAGAGATGGCTCAGTGGTCTAAAGCACCTACTTAGAACAAGCTTAGCAAAGCACAGGGACTGCGGTTCGATCCCCCAGCACCACATGCCAGCCAGCCCCGCCCCCTGGTGGGCTGAGCTGCCCCCCCCACAAATAAATTTAAAAAAAAAATAGATACTGTGAAAGGGCAAGAAGCTATTCAATGAGAAGGAAAAACCTGAGTGAGGAAAAGGACAAAGGAAGGGGAAAAGATATATTTATGTATATAGACAGAATAGCTTGAATAATTGTTGATTTTTGTTGGTCTATTGGAAAGAGTATATAATCGTTAGTTTTTTTTCTTTTTCTCTTCTCTAATTTTGCATGTTTATATTTGGTAATCTAAACTAATTTGAAGATAATATTATATAATACAACCACTACTGTCAAATTCTTACTTTGTTTAGTGAAATTGTGTATTGTCTCTAATACTTTTTTCTCTTTTACTAGTTTGTATTTTTAAAAAATAAAAATTTTGTTGTTTGTTTTGTTTTTTGAGACAGGATCTCATCAAGTAATTCAGACTGTGCTTGAATTCACCAAGTAACGTAGGCTAGCCTCCAACTCCTGGTGATTCTCCTGGCTCCACTGTAGTCATGTGTCACCATGCTCAATTTGGTGTCTTTTTGTAATCACTGTTCTCTTAGTATCTGAGGCGGGAGGATTGAAAGTTCAAGGCCAGATAGGTCTGAAGAAGAGCCAGTGTCTTCATAAAGAGGGAAGGGGATAAACCCATACAGTTCATCAGGGTATTAAATAGATAAGGTAATACCATGTGGCTTGTACGTAGAAGATACTGGTACAGAAAACTCTTGGTATTTGACAGTTGGTTCCAGGCAGCTGGGTGTGGTGATTCATGCCTGTAATTCTAGTATGCTGGAGGCTGCAGCAGGAGGATTGCTATGAATTTGGAACAAGCCTGAATTACATGTTGAAACCCTGTCTCCACCCCACAAAAAACAATCTTGAACTCACAGTTTCAAAGAGTAGCTATAGTTCATTGAGTCCATTCCATGTACTACATGCTTTATATGTTATTTCTTCTAACTTTTTTTTTTTTTGGCAGAACCAGGGATTGAACTCAGACTTCTTCTGAGCCATCTCCCTGGCCCCTTCTAACTTTATAAGAAACAAATTAGCCTTCCTTCTTAACTGGGAACTTTTGGGGACACACACATTGAAAAACCATGTTTTTTTTTTTCTTCTACAGAAAAAACGCAGTGAAATTCCATGTTACTGGGAAAATCAGCCAATGGGATGTCAAAAACTAAATTGTGCTTTCCATCATAATCGAGGACGCTATGTTGATGGCCTGTTCCTACCTCCAAGTAAAAGTAAGATCCATTCTTCTTTTTTTTGTACCAGGAATTGAACTCAGGACCTTGTGCTTGCCAGGCTGGTGCTTATGCCACTGAGCCAGGCCCCATTCTTAATTTTGTTTTTTTTTTTGGCGGAACTGGTGATTGAACTCAGGCCCTTGTGCTTGCCAGGGAAGCACTTATTTTACTGAGCCATCTTTTTTTCTTTTTTTTAATTATTTATTTATTTGTGTGTGTGTGTGTGTGTGTGTGTGTGTGTGTGTGTGTGTGGCCAGCTCAGCCCACCAGGGGGCAGGGCTGGCTGGCATGTGGTGCTGGGGATTGAACTGCGGTCCCTGTGATTTGCTAAGTTTGTTCTAAGTAGGTGCTTTAGACCACTGAGCCATCTCACCAGCCCCTACTGAGCCATCTTCCCAGCCCCTTCCATTCTTAATTTTAGAAGGATAGTTACTGTTAAGTAAAGTCCTGTTACACACACTGTACAAAATACTTCATATACATAGCCTTCTTTCAGTTCACTGAATAGTATTACTTCCTCTTTGCAGGTGGATAAGCTGAACCTTATTAAGCCTTAAATGATTTCTACCCAGTAGGAACCAAACTTCTCTGGGCATGCCAGATTAGATTGCACTAGCTAATTTCATTTCCCATTTTCTTATCAAACCAATAAGGTTTTCAAATGAAATTTGATTCTCTAGGCCAGTGGTGATGAGCTTATGGTATGCATGCTGCAGCAGGCTGTATCACTGAAAGCTTTGAAAGTATCACCATTGCTGCTCTAAACCGTGGTTTGGCCAATCTGGTCCTCTGCCTTTTTTTTTTTTTTTTTTTTCTGTACCAAGGATCAAACTCAGAACCTTGCATTTGCCAGGCAGGCACTTAAGCTGCTGAGCTATATCCACAGCCCCTCCTCTGCCTGTTTTGTAAAATAAAGATTTAATGCACTGCAGCCTTGTTATGGCTAGTTTTCTGCTACTACTGAAGAATGTATTGTTGAGACAACTGCCTGTGTGTCATCTAAAATAGCATACCCTATAGAAAGCTAAAATAACATAACCCTTCCAAACTATCCTTTAATGTAATTTTCTAGTGGCATTAGTGGCCATTAAAAAGCCCTATCTTGGGCTGGCGAGATAGCTCAGCAGACCAACCACCTGCTTAGGCAAGCACAGGAACTGGGGTTTGATCCCCAGCACCACCCCCAGTGGGGGATCACTGTGAGTCTGAGCTGCGTAGTGAGACCCTGTATGAAATACATTTAAAATAAATAAAGCTCTATCTGGGCCAGGTGTGATTGCATATCTGTAACCTCAGCACAGCATTCAGGAGGCTGACACAGGAGGATTGCTGGGATTTCAAGGCTAGGGTAGGGTACAAAGTAAATTTAAGGCCAGCCTGAATCACATCACAAAACCCTGTCTCAAAAAGACCAAAAAAAAAAAAAAAAAAAAAAAGCCATATCTGAGGCTGGGGTTATAGTTCTCAGCATTACAAAGATAAATAACAAGCTGTCCCATAGATTAAAATGTGATGGCTACATCTTTTCACATTTAGAGCAGAAAGTAGGTTCACTCTTTCTGGTTTGTTCAGACAAGTGTTTTCTACACCTGTTCCAGTCCTTACTGGGAATTGGACTCAAGGTGTTATGTGTGGTAGGTCAGTGCTGTATCACTGAGCTACACCTGTTTCATGATTAAATAAAGGGCTGACTACTCAGCTTTTCTATTTATTGTCTGTGAGATAGGATTTCATTGTGCAGTTCAGGTTGGCCTCAAACTTGCAGCAATCCTCATGCCTCGGCCTCCTCAATGTATTTTTTGGGGCTTTTTGAGACAAGGTCTCACTATGTAGGTTAGACAGGTTTTGAACGCACTGTGTAGCCCAAACCGGCCCTGAACTCAAAGTGATCTTCCTGCCTCAGCCTCTGAAGTGCCTAGATTACAGCCATATGCTACCACACCCTACCTACCCCACCATTTTTTTGTGGTTTTTGTTTCAATTTTGAAACAAGGTCTCACTGAATTGTTCTGACTGGCCTTAAGCTTGTGATGCGGGGCCGGGGAGATGGTTCAGTAGAATAAGTGCTTCCCTGGCAAGCGCAAGGATCTGAGTTCAATCCCCAGTTCCACCAAAAAAAAAGCTTGTGATGTCCCTGCTGAGCCTCCCCAGAAGCTGAGATTATAGGTGCAGACCACACATGACTTTTGTCTCTTAAAAACTAAGTCTTTGCTGGTCAGAAAAGCCTAGAATGTCAGTTTTAAAAATAAATATGTAGAACTTGGAAACAACTAATGTATGCATCTAGCCCTCTGTTTATTGTTTTGAGTGCCTCTGTATTTCCATACAATGAACTTACTGACTAAAAGCACATTTTGAATTTGGTAAGAGTTTAGAAAAAAAATTAAGTAAAAAGATATAAATGCATACAGTGAAAATGTACCAATATATTTATGCTTAAGTAATGAGCCAGAGATGTTTGTTGAATTGGGATTATACATTCTTTGTTCATTTGTGGCTGCTCTTGTGTGTTCAGCTGTGTTGCCCACTGTGCTTGAGTCACAAGAGGAAGAAGTGAAGGCTGGCCCGCTCACGGCTCAGCAAAACAAGCTGTCTGTTCAGTCGAACCCGTCTCCTCAGCTGCGGGGCGTCATGAAGGTGGAGAGCTCAGAGAGCGTGCCCAGCCCCACACACCCACCTGTGGTGATCAATGCAGCGGATGACGATGAGGACGATGACGGTGGGTTGGGCTGTGGCCCCTGTGGCCCTGCGTGCTCTTTTTTACTTTCTTTGCTGTACTGAAGATGGAATCTAGGGCCTCTTGCATGCAAATCAGATCCTCTGCCCCTGCTCTTTATATTTTATTTTTTATTATTTTGGTGGAACCGGGGATTGAACTCAGGCCCTTGCGGTTGCCAGGGAAGCGTTTATTCCACTGAGCCATCTCCCCAGCCCTACTTTTTATATTTTAAAACAGGATCTGGTATACTTCCAGGACTTCTTGAGGCAAAATCTTGCTAAAATGCCCAGGCTGCCCTCTACTTGTGATCATGAGGCCTTATATCCCAAGTGGCTGGGACTGTGGATGTGTGCCACACATCTAGGTGTATCTTTCTATGATACAAGTAAACAGGTTCATGTAGTAAGTTACTGAACAGACTGAGTAGTAAACCTGGAGGCCAGGTTTTAATTATAAATTTGTCTTAAATGTTGATACACAGACCAGTTTTCTGAGGAGGGTGATGAAACAAAAACCCCCACTCTACAACCATCTCCCGAAGTGCACAATGCATTACGAGTGGCTCCTGTGCGGAAACCTGGAGTCAGTTTAAAGCAAGGTAAGATGATGTTGTATTACTAGTAAAGCTTAAAACACCACCGACTATTCCATACTATTTTTAACTACCATTGAAGTTTAGTTCAGAGTCACTGTCCCTCTTCCCTTCGTGCTACATACATACACATACCCATTTTCTTAATCATGGAGAAAGTTCTTCAATGCTTACGATGAAGAAAAAAAAGCAAAAGTAAGAAAAGATCTAGTTTCTCATATGATTTCTATTTGGGTTTCTTAGGTGAAAGTTTAAATTTTGGAATAAAAACTCTGGAGGAAATTAAATCAAAGAAAATGAAGGAAAAATCCAAGAAGCAAGGTGGTAAGTCATCGCATGTTTTGGCAGGGTTGGTTGTAGGCAAGAGAAGAATAAGGACACTTGCAGAAACAACAGCCAATATGAGCAAATATATTTTGTTTTCTCTTAGTTGAAGTAAAGCACAGACTTATCTAGAAGGAACTGTGTCCTCAGAAATACAAAAAAAGGGGCCGGGGAGATGGCTCAGTAGAATAAGTGCTTCCCTGGCAAGCACAAGGGCCTGAGTTCAATCCCCAGTTCCACAAAAACAAAAAAATACTACTAAGAATGACATTGGGAGAGCAAAAATTTAACTTGTGGATAAATTGTTCCCAAAAGCTGCTAGGATTAGTCTGGTGTGGTGGCACCTGCCTATAATCCCGGTACTTAGGAGCCTGAGGCAGGAGGATCCACAAGTTCGAGGCCAGCCCGGAGCTACATAGTGAGACCCTGTCTCAAAAAAACAAGAAAAAATGTTTCTAGAATTTTCTTCTAGAGCTTACCTCAACCTTTGGCTAGCATGTATCTCTAAAAATTATAAGGTATGAAATGTATATGGAGAGAAACAAATAATTGATTGTGAGAATTCCTTTTAAAGCTTGCTGTGTTGAAACCTTGGAGTTAAGATTTTATGCATGATTAAGTTTAGACAGAATTTGGGATTAACACACTTCTGAGGTGAAGTCTAGAATGATGTTAACCTTTTTTTTTTTTTTTTTTCCCAGTACTAGAAATAGAATTCAGACCTTTGCACTGAGTTACATTCCTAACCCCTAATTTTTGAGGCAAGGTGTCATTAAATTGCCCAGACAGGGCTCAAACTTAAGATCTTCCTCTCTGTTTTCTAGAGTCTTGGGCCTGGGATTATAGCATGCCTGCTCAGTTCTGTATTTTGTTTCACACTGTGCCCAAGGGTCCCCCCGGTGATTACACTATTTCCTTGTAGGCATATATGTACAGAAACGTTGATTGGTTTGTAGTGACAGAGCAATCTGTATTTGACTTAATTGGTTGTAGAATCAAAATTCCTTACCTTGTGATAGCTGTATTTTTCACAAATTGTTGGTTTTGACTTGTCTTATTCAGAAGGTTCTTCAAGTGTTTCCAGTCTGCTACTCCAACCTCAGCCGATTCCAGGTCCTGAAAAAGAGAATGTTCGAACTGTGGTGAGGACAGTGACTCTGTCAAACAAACAAGGTAAGGCATAGGTAGATCCCAGAAAGGGCTTCTACTTTCATAAAACTGAAAGTGCAAAATTCTTGGGTTTGTTTTTTTTAACTTTTGATGATATTGCAGGAAGACTAGTAGTGTGTTAATTGAATATAATGATGAAAAGAGGCCAGATAGCATACGCCAGTACTCTCAGCATCCTCTTGAGGCTAAGGCAGGAGGATCACAAGTTCAAGCCCAACTTCAACAAATTAGTGAGACCCTGTCTTAAATTTGTACAACTGTACTGTTGATATCTGCTGGTCTGTGCAAAGGAGCAGTTAGTGCTTAATTTGTTTTTTCTCCTTTTTTTTTTTTTTTT